TGCCGTTTGTCTTTTAAATTGGAACTTGGATATAGGCGGAGCCAATGGGAGTAAGAAAGAAACCTACTAGCAGGTCCTGGGAGAGGAGGGGCCAGTGCCGGGAGGAGACAGGCAGGCAGCCACTGTTGGGACCCCTGCCAGGGGCTGTCACCTCCTGTGAGCCCATGACCCTGAAAGAGAGAAACAAGCACCTGTCACCTGACCCAGACAGAGTCCCTCTGGGTGCGTCCTGAGGTTGGAAGAGCAGCCTCATGGCTTTGATGGCCTACCTCAGTGTCCACACAGCCGGATGAGAGTCCCGAGGGGGCAGGACAGCCGGCCCCGCCCAGGCCGTCCCCTCCGGAGTCAGAGCTGTCTGAGCCTGTGTGGAACCAGCGGTGCCTCTGAAACGGGGGTGAAACCACTCGGACTTGAAGGGTTTCGCCCTCTGGGTTCATCATTTGGTAACAGAATTTAAGAGAACGTTTAGAGAAAAAGGCAGAGGAAGTGACTGAAAGCACAGCAGGTCCTGTGAACTGAAGTGGACCCGGAGCTCCCTGTGTGGAAGCTGTGGGGGGCCCCCTACAGAACCTCACTTCAGAGGGCTCAGGAGCTAGCTCTTCATTACTCTGAGCGGCTCCGGCCTGAGAACTGGGGAGAGGATATGAAGACAGCTCCTAGCCCTGTGGGGTCTTCCAGCTGAGCCCGGCCGGCCCGGTGCTCACGTCCAACCCGTGTGTGTGCATTCCCCACCAGACATGAGGCCTGTGCTCTAGCTCAGGGTATCTGCTGAGTGCCAGGTGATTGCAGAGCTTAGGGAGCTGGTGGGAGGCACCGGGATGGACATGAAGGGTCAGCACGCGGAACACGGCCCGTGGGCAGCCACCGGCATGGACAGAGGGGCGGCCAGTCTCGCTGCGTCTGGGGGACGCAGGGCCTGTCCTAGAAATACTCCCGGGTGACTCTGTGTATAACCCGGCAAGTAAAGCCAATGCCTTGGCTAGATGAGGGAGAGGATGCTGGTGAGGTCCCGGCTGGGTTGGGTTACATCCGTGAGAAATGCTGACAAGGCGCGTGGGGTCCCCCGGTGCCCGGAGCACACCGTCGCCTGCCTGCGCTCCTCAGGGCCGTCCCCACCGGAGGTTAAACAGCTGTCAGCCCCTCACTGCAGGGCTTGAATAATATCATTGGCTGGGCTGGTGAAAGTTAATTCATTTACTAACTTATACTTTGTCTCGTTTTGTAACAATGTAGCAGTGAGTAACAGAAATAATGTGAAACATACTGATGATGTGTCCATCTGAGTCATGGTCCCAGAAATGTAAACAGGAGCAAAGGGCAAAGACAAGGGACACGGACACCCGAGATGTTGTGAGGACCCTAAAGCCGAGCCCAGATCTGCCTCTGAGCCTCACGGCAGCCGGAGCGAAGCCGAGACGCTTCAGCCGCACGTGTGGTGGGTAGAGACAGGAGCCGTGGACGCAGACACCCCGCTTCTAAACCGCACTGCACAGGCCCTCCGCTGACCCTAAAGCACGTGGGGACGTGCCCTGGCCCATGTTGTCTTCCATGAACATGGGCCACGTTTCCATTCAGCTAGAGCATCACTAATTTCTTTCAACGTTTTGTAGTTGTCAGCATACAAACCATTAACTCTTTTGTGTTAAAGTTTTGAGAAAATTGTTTTTACTCTGGCTTCACATAGATGCTCCTGACATACGGGCGTGTCTCTCGTAGCTTCAAGGTAAGACGGGCAGGTTCACATGAGCTTCCTCCTCGTTTCCCCTGCCCTGTGCTGCGAGGGCCTGACTGGTGAGGTGGGTGCTGGGCGTGGGCGGTGGTGAGGGGGCAGCTGCAGGTGCTGCCCTGGTGGGCGGGGCAGGGGCGGGGCAGGACCGGGAAGGCCCGGCAGACGGATGGACAGACGGACGGAGGGAGCCGCAGAGAAAGGGTGGAGCCAGGGTGACGCAAAAGACCAGCCAGGACCATTGGACAATTTTGCAAGTTCCCACTGAATTTCTGAACAAATGTTAGTAAATTTAACTAGTTTGGGAAAAATACATGATAGCTCACAGTCCACTTTGTGAAGTTCTTGCTTGGTTTTGTCTTGTCTGGGTTTCTTTTTTACTTTTAGTTCACCAGGCTTCCACCAAGGATTTTCTTTTTAAGGTGGATCATGAGCACACGACACAGGTGGAGGGGCTGCCCGCCTCCCCCCCCCCCAGGGGCAGATAAAATCCGATGAAAGGCAGGCAGGTGGGTAACATGGGTTACGTGGGCTTCAGGCAGAGGGAGACAAGACTGGTCTCCTGGGCAGGGAGGGACGCCCAGGTGCCCGCAGTGGGTAGGTCGGCCAGTGCCATCCCTGCCACGTCTCCTCTCCAAGGGTGGGTGGGGGTGTGGCTCCACGGTGCCCTCAGGGTTCACCCAGCCTGGTGGGCTCAGACTAGTGCTGGTTTGCAGCCACCACCTGGTGTAACTGGAAAGAGCACCTGGGGCCCCACACGCCACCGTCCCCCATTTATCAGCAGCCTGGAGCTGGATGTGGGGTCCAGGGCAGCCCTGACACCGAGTGTGTGCGTGTGTGTGTGCCTGGGCACGTGTGTGTCTGCATGTCCGTGCGTCTCCTTGCGTGCAAGGACCTCAGCACCCACACCCCACGCGCCCTCCAGCCCGTTTCCCGAGCCGGCAGAGGGGACCACACTGCCTCCTGCAGGGCGTGGGGAAGGCGAAGCCTGTGACAGGCGCCCCCCCGCAGCCGGCACACCACACACATCAGCTGGACTGTACGGTTTTATTTCCACACTCGGCACAGTCCTCTCAGGATGGGGAGGCCAGCGTCCCACGAAACCCGCAGTAAAATGCGCCCTCCCTTCCGGCTTGAATTCAAGGTGACGTTAGTGAGTAATGACTCGCTGGGAATTGGAAAGCAAGACGCTGTCCATGTTTACGTGTGTTCTCGTGGCTTCACAAGGAGAAAGTGCTTCCCCCTGAGTGTTTATTATTTGTTACACACACAGAAATCCTGCAGCCCAGGCCTTGTTACGCGTGTCTGTGCCACCAGCGTTCACAGTGCGTCATCGTCGCCGTCAGGGCTGCTGCAGTTACCTTAAGAGTTAACACATAAGTTCCTGCGCGTCCGTCAGGAAACCACCCTGGGTGGCGGAAATGAGACTGTGTATCCACAAGTCACATAATCGGGTTTAATTTGTTTCCTTTAAAGCTGTGTCTTTGACTGTGTGCTTCTATGTAACGGCATTCGTCACAGGCTTCGAGGCCAAGCCTTAGGCAGGACAGGAGACGAGAGCGACCGGCCGAGGGCCCCCTTTCTAATGTGCAGGAAGATTGACATTCACGGGAGGGTAAAGCAGGAGGTAACGGGAGGACGTGGCCATGTGCACACGGTGCTGCTGTTCGCCAGCTGAATGTAGAATTTCCTTTGAAAACTTGCTTTTAATTATGTTAAAACATAACGTAACCTAAAATGCCCCCTCCTGATAGATTAAAGGGCTCCGGTTATAATTGGGCTGTTGAAAAAGGAAGGCCCGGAGCAGCTATTACGGGAGAGTCGCTCCCAGAGACCGTGACACACCTTCAGCCATAAAACAGTGGCGCTCTCCTCGGAGTTAAGGGCGTCATTGATCCCTCACCTGCTCATTGTGAGCGTGGGCAGGAAGGTGCCCTGCTGCCCGCAGGGTGAGGCAGCCCCCGGCCCTGCTCCCAGCCCACTGGGATCCCCAGAACATGTTGACATTCTCTGCTCCCAGCTGTGGGAGGTCCTGCCCCTGACTCCTCCGGGATCGGAGTGGATGTCCCGTCCCTGTAGGATATTCCCGTGTCTGACCTGGGACATGTGCACCCAGACCTCAGACCTGGCAAATGTTCTTGGCGAGTGGTGTCTCCTGTGTCAGCGACTGAGGGCTGGGCTGCGAATTACCGGGTGGAAGCTGCGTGTCTCTGAGCTTCTTTCCCGTTTCCTACCGTTTCCTTGGGTGCTTGTCTGCAGGTCGCTGTGGGGTCCGGGTGGGTGGCTCTGAGTCCTGGGGGACGGGCCGTGGTCAACGGAGCCAACTGGTCTCCACTTCCCCAAGGAGACAGCTCTGTGCTGTTCCCAAAGGGGTCGGGGCCGGGCCGGACCACGGCCTCCCCCCCAGGCGCAGTCCTGAGGCCCCTCCTGGGCTCCCGGGCTCCGCCCACCCCTTTTCCTGCCGAATCAGGTTCTTGTGCCTGTGTTTCCTGCAGGGGTCCTGTTGTGTGCATGTGATATAATATCTATGCGCATGATAGATACAGAGTGACGTCATCTGCGCACTGTAGATGGGTATTACGATGACTATCACACGATACAGACAGTCTGCCTATGCACAGCACACACTGTGACAGAGCCTGTTATTTCCCATGTGGAATATTATATGCATATTACCTACTGTACATGCATGTAATACTCAAATAATCAAATGTAACTCATTTTTCCCCTCAAACTGTTCATTTGCTTAATACCACAAAATCTTGCTTTCACAGGACCTGATGCATCTAGGAGACACTGCATAGTTGTTGTAAAACAGTATTTGGTCCCTGGCCAGTGTTCTCAGTGTTAGAGCATCGGCCTGGCCCTGAAGGGCGGTGGGTTTGATTTCCAGTCAAGGGCACCTACCTGGGTTTCAGGTTCGATCCTCGGCCCCAGTTGGGGTGCGTGTGGGAGGCAACCGGCCTTCCTCTCCATCGATGCCTCTCTCCCCCTCCCTCCCACTCTCTCTAAAACAATCAAGAGAGACAATAGCCTCGTGCGTGGATTAACAAACAATAAACAAACAAAGCCGTATTGGGGAATACCAGTTTATTTTCCCTGAGATTCTTGTATTTTGGAGCAGTTGATGTATAAGAATGTGCCGCCCACGTGCGTGCCCAGACCGAGAGGGACCGCTGACCGCTGCATACAGTTCGTGCCTGGGGTGTCAAGCCGTTCGTTTTCTGCCGCCGTTTCCACCGAGTCTCACACGACGCTTCTGTTTCCTCCACAGACCAGCAGTACTCGTGGTCTCCCGCTCAGCACTTCAATGAGGAAAGATACTCCCCCGCCCCCAGGAACATGAAAGGGTTCCCGGGGAGCCGGAGCCAAGCCCCGCTGTGTTCCGCCCACACCTGCGGCCTGGCCCCGCCCGACGACTGCGAGCACCTGCGCCACGGGCCGGACCCGCGGCCGCCCTACCTGCTGAGCCCCGCGGACGGCTGCCCGGCGGACCACCACCGCTGCTCGCCCCGCAGCTCCGTGCACTCCGAGTGCGTGATGGTGCCCGTGGTGCTGGGCGGGCACGTGTCCAGCAGCACCTTCCCCAGGATGCACTACAGCTCCCACTACGACGCCAGGGACGACTGCGCCGCGCCCCACGCCGGCGCGAAGGCCAACCGCATCCCCGCCAACCTCCTGGACCAGTTCGAGAAGCAGCTGCCCCTGCACCGGGACGGGTTCCACACCCTGCAGTACCAGCGGACGTCGGCCGCCGCGGAGCAGCGGGGCGAGAGCCCGGGCCGGATACGGCACCTCGTCCACTCCGTGCAGAAGCTCTTCACCAAGTCCCACTCCTTGGAGGGCTCCTCCAAGGGCCACGTCAACGGGACCAAGGGCGAGGGCCGGGCGGAGGACCACCACCACGGCCACCACGCCAAGCACAGCAGGCGGAGCAAGAGCAAGGAGCGGAAGCCCGAGAGCAAGCACAGGTCGGGCCTGAGCAGCTGGTGGAGCTCCGACGACAACCTGGACAGCGACAGCACCTGCCGCGCCCCCAGCGTGGCCAGCCGGCCCCTGGCGGACCGCCTGTCCCACTGCTACCCCGAGCCGCTGCCGGGCCCCTTCGGGGACCTCTCCCTGAAGACGTCCAGGAGCAACAACGACGTCAAGTGCTCGGCCTGCGAGGGCCTGTCCCTGACGCCCGACGCCAAGTACATGAAGCGGAGCTCCTGGTCCACGCTGACCGTGAGCCAGGCCAAGGAGGCGTATCGCAAGAGCTCCCTGAACCTGGACAAGCCGCTGGTGCACCAGGAGATCAAGCCGGCCCTGAGGCCGTGCCACTACCTCCAGGTAAGGTCTCGGGCCAGGCCGCCACGGGCACCGAGGTCTCTGCGGCAGCCTCTCCCGGGGGCACCCGCTGGGCAGCCCGGTCCTCCCCTCGAACGCGGGCGATGGGTCCCCCCTCTGATGCCTCTCGGCTGCAGGATTTAGCATCACGGTGTTTTAGCCCAGGTAACGTCTTCTCGTTCAGAAGTGGCTGGTGGGCCCGGCAGGCGAGGCCCAGGGGTCGAGTGTCAACCCAGGAACCAAAAGGTCAGCGGTTCGATTCCTGCTCAGGGCACATGCCCGGCTTGTGGGCTCGATCCCCAGTAGGGGGCGTGCAGGCAGGAGGCGGCCGATCGATGGTGTTCTCTCTGTGTATCCCTCTCTCTGCCTCTCTCTCTAAAACACAATTTAAAAAAACAAACATAAAGTAGCGTCTGGTGGGGCCCCGTGGAAGCGGGCCTGCGGCTTGAGTGGGTTCACTGGCCCCACCCGACCATGGCATCGTTAGGCGCGATTTTGGGAAACGCCCCTGTGCCTCTGGGGTGCAGGTGAATGAATTCACCAAAGGCGAGAACAGATGGACGACGATCGTGGGTGGGGAGAGGCAGAGCATCGCGAATCTCTGGTTTACGTGTTTCCCTCTCACTCTGCCTCCAGATCGCGTCAACCGCTGAGTGTGTGGGGGAGCGCGGGCCCCGGAGGCGCCCATGGGTGCCTCTGTGAGTACTTGCATCTGTTAACTGTCATTAGCAGAGCCGGAGGGTCTGTGTTTTTCTCCAGCGTTTGTGTAGCTTGTTCTCCATCCACAGTCGCACCCCCTTCCTGACCGTGCTGGGCGCAGGCCGCAGGTCGCAGGCCGGGGGAGGGACCCTCACAGGACGAGCCGCCGGCCGGGTGCCGCCTGAGTCACCGGCGTCAGTTATCGGAGCAGATCACTAACCGAGCGGCCTCAGGAGTCAGGGGCCATCGTCCAGAACCCGGTGGTGCTGCTTGTCGAGGAAACGCTAACCCAGCTGCTTTCACGGGCAGGTTTATTCAGAGACAAGTGGGTATTTTTATAGCAACGTGAGGGGCGTAGATTTTGCGGGTAGTTGGCGAGTCCTAGTAATGTGCAGACATAAAATGCTCACCAGCACGTTGCCAGCAGCAGCAGGCCCTTCACGGTCACCGACAGAGCAGAATTCCCGCCCCTCTGCCTGTCCCTGGGGGCCTCCGAGAGGACACTCAGCATGGCGTCCCCACCGGCCACGGCTGCCGGCCTCACACCCGCGAAGGGCCCCACCGAGGCCTCCTCTGTCCGCCCTCCTTTGTAACACCCTCTTCCCTGCCCTCCAGTGGCCCTTTCTGATGTTTTAATTATGGAAAATCTAATCCTATAAAAAGGTGCGCTCAGCCCAGGAACCAAGGGGCCACCAGTCCGGTTCCTGGTCAGGGCACTTGCCGGGCTGTGGGCTCCGTCCCCGGAAGGGGGCGGGTGGGCGGCAGCCAGTGGATCTCTCCCTCTCCCTCTCCCTTCCTCTCTGAAACCAACAAAAACATATTTTTTTAAAAAAGGAAAATAACAGGGTGTAATGCAACGAACCCCATACACTCCCCACGCAGCTTCGGGACCAGCCAACACCTGGCTGCGCTGTCCGTCGGCACCTCACACACCTGCCCATTCAGGCTGCGCCCACGGAAGTCCCCTGAAGACCAATAAATACTCTGCACTTGTCCTCAAGGACCCGCCCGGGGGGGTGAGGGCCCCCCTGAAACGTCTCCGCAGTGCCGTTACCAACGTGAAAACTGACATCAACTCCAGTGGTTTCGGGTCCAGCGAGTATTCAAATTCCCTGATTGTCACAGTTTCTTTTTACCAGTTTGAGTCCAGATACAGACGGGGAGCCCATGGGGCTGGGTTGATGTTGAAAATCTTCAGGTCCCGCCTCTGCATCTTCCCCCTCCTCCCCGACCTCCTCCTGTGACTTTGGGGTGGAGCTTAGGACCTTGTCCACTTGTTGACTGTCCTGCTGTCTGGGTCTGGCTGCCCTGGCCTCCCCGTGGCATCACTGCCACCTGCTCTGGCCTCCCGGTGGCGTCACTGCCACCTGCCCTGGCCTCCCCGTGGCGTCACTGCCACCTGCCCTGGCCTCCTCGTGGCGTCACTGCCACCTGCTCTGGCCTCCCGGTGGCGTCACTGCCCACCGGCCCTCTGGCTCCCATGCCCATGGTTTCTCAGTGTGCACTGTGTGGTCACTAAACGTGTCACGTTCACTGACGTCCTCCTCGGCTAGCCCGTGAGGCCGGGTCACACCTTCCCCTCCTCTTCTGGTCCCTGCCCCTCGGACACGATGGGGCGTCAGCGGTGTGGGCGAGAGGGCTTGGCTGAGCTGTGACCAGCTGTGACGTCCCCAGACTTCAGAACACTCGGCCTTTACATGGCAGCATCTAAACAATGACAGATTGTGACCTGATCCCGTGACAGCTGTGACTCAGTGGACCCACCTTAAAGCCCAAGCTCCTGGAGTGAAACCACGGGGCTCCGAGGCCCAGGTGAGCAGGGAGGACGGTCACCTTGTCCCCGGCAAACCCACCTGTCACCTCCGTTCCTCTGAGGCCCTGCAGGTTCCCAGACGTAGGCCTGGCCCCAGACAGGCCACCTCAGGGACAGCTGTCCTGGACACCAGCCTCAGTCTCTGAACGAGCAGAGCCCGGGCTGCCCCCCGGTGGGAGGCACTGCTGGTGTGGCGGGTGCTGTGGTGTCCCCGGGGTGGTGCTGGCTCCCTGAGCCCTGGGACCCGCGAGGACACGCGCTCCTCAGGGGGCTCGTCTCTTCCAGCAGCCGGTTCCTGTCCCTCCCACCTCGGCGTCTCCGTGAAGCCACCGCATCCCCGACGCAGCTCGGCGGTTCCATCCTTCCCTGTCCTCGTGGTCACCGCGGGCCCCGCGTGAGAAGACTCGTGACCCTGAGCAGCCGACCCGCTCACGTCTCCCCGGCAGTCTGAGCCGGTGTCGGGCTCGCGGGAGCTGAGGTCCAGCACGTCCGAGAGGCTCAGGCACAGATGTCCCCGCACGTGGACTGCGTGAAACTCCTCGAGGGACCGGGGGCCTCGCGTGCAGACCCTGCTTTACCGACAGGAGCTGTGCACCGAGGGCTTTGTCCTGTGACCTACGGGGAGGGTTTCACCCAAGGGGGGGAAGCAGATGCTCGCGTTCTGCGCCGCCTTTCACCCCAAACGAGAGCGAGTTGGAGCTGAACACGGGGCTGTTTTTCAGTCTCACCTTGTACTGAACACGGAGTTACCGTCAGAGGAAGACTCTGTGTTGTTGAGGTCGGAGCAGACACCGGGCGAGTGAAGGGAAATGTGATCCATTTGTTCTCTGAGAAAGCTCTTGTTTTCGAATTTTCTCCGTCAGTGGACAGAGCTTCGAAGGTCAGCCTTCAGTGAATGCCACGCTGAGCGGGTGGGCACGTCGCAGCCGAGCTCGGGGGCACAGAGCCCCGCAGGTCGCCCGGGCAGTGGCTTCTGGGGACAGGAAGGTGGGCGGTGGCCACCCAGCCCGGGGGAGGACAGTCGGGCAGTGACACTGCCATGTGGGCACGGGGGGGGGGGCTCTGCCCCGGTGGAGATGCGCGCGGTGGACCTAACCTGGGACGGCGCCGACGGAGTGTTTTTCCCTGAGTGTTCGCTCTGTCCCGGTGGGGTCCCCACATGACCCAGCCTCGGCCGTGCGATGTGTGCTCGGTCCCCCGGCTTCTGCTCCATCCACTGCTGGGGATTTTTGCTTTTTTTTTAAATATGTTTTTATTGGCATCAGAGAGAGAGGAAAGGAGAGGGAGAGAGAGAAACATCAATGATCCCCTGCTGGGGATCGAGCCGCACCCCGGGCTTGTGCCCTGACCAGGAATCGAACCCCGACCTCCAGGTTCATAGGTCGATGCTCAACCACTGAGCCACGCTGGCTGGGCGGCGGCTGGGGTTTAAAGGGGTGAGACGGGAGGGGTGTGACCCTAAGAAAATGAACTGGGCACCTGAACAGTGGCTCAGAGGAAGAATAAAACACGGAAATAAATGAACACAGGAGCTTCCCTGGCCAGGCTGACTGGACTCGGGGTCCGGAGGTGACCGGAGCGGCGTCAACGGGATCTCATCTGCTCAGACGACGCAGACCCTGCCTGGCTGCCACAGAAACCGCGTCCCTCCACGCAGTTCCCCGTGCGGGGGGGCAAGGGCCAAGACGTCAACCTGCGTGACCGGGTCTGAGGCTCA